CCAGTATCAATGAGTGCTTGTGCAGTGATGCTCTTCTGCAAATGTTCATGATCGCATGTCCAGACGTTTCCATACCTTTTTTTTTTTTTCTCACAAGAGTGTGTTACTGTGTGCGTTCCAGTCGCTCACATCTGGTCTGAATCTGTCCGTGTTTCCGGCCGCTGGCTGGGCAGGGAAGTGGCAGGCGCTATCGAAAATCTCCGCTGTTTTCGCAGGGATGATGGGAATCTCAGGGACTTTCCCTAAGGCAGTGAAATCATCCGCTTTTCCCGCTCCTTTAAATACCCCCAGCTCATTCCTCCACCCAGCAAGGGTTCCGATAAAACAGCTGAGTTGTCTTGTGCTTGGCAACTGTTGTCCTCTAAAAGGTGTAATTAGCTCATGAAAAACTGTATTTACTGTCAAAGCTTGCTAAACTAATGGACTTGAGGTCTGGCTGGTGTAGATGTGTCCTTAATGTTATTGTTTACATCTTTCGCTCCTGCAGTTTGTGAAAGAAATAGTTTCAATTCGGATGATTTTTGTCCAAATAAATAACCTTAGAATGCAATAAACATGGAAGTAGAAAATTACCAAAAAACTACCAGATTTTTTTATCTGGATGTATTTTGGATGACATGCAGACTAAGATCGATGTAAGGTTTTATATTTGATGTCAAGAATATTAAAAGGGTGGATAAAAACTGGCATATAGGACAACATGATGAAGATGCCCCAGTTTTACAAGTTTTACAAAATCTGGGAATGTTGTCTGATGCATCCGGTGATCATTACTCTGTGTTAGACAAGACAGCATCTTGTGGCTCATTATTTAACTGCTGATGCCCTTTGTCTACATGATTATGCCATGAAAAAGCTCTTTTTTCTGCCTGCCAAACTTGTTGCTTAATTTTTTTAAGCAGCTGCTATAAACCATTTATTTTTCCTCTCTTAGACTTAACACAAATAATATGATTTTATTGTCCACAGTGTCTCTAAGTGAACTAACACGTCTTTGAGTTCCTACCCTGACAGCCAACAGGTGGACCTTTTAACCTTTACTTTTTTGCTGATAATATCTTCTACATTTGTTTTTTTTTTATGAATCCCCTTTTTCTCAAAGTATAGATAACCTTATTAGAATTTACCTTAAATGTATATTCTTTTGCCACTTGTTTCCAAAAAACACAAACCCAGTTTTTAAGTTAATTTGCTGCCTTCTGATCCATTAGGTCCACTGGATCTTTCTCTCTCTCTGAATTGTAAGAAGTTATAAAGGGCGGTGTATATTTGTTCAGGTGTGGCTGTAGAGTAGAACAGTTTACCATGACTGCTGAGTCCTGTAACATTTCAGCAACGACTTTTTGTGTCTAAAACGTTTCTAAATTGTTGCTTTATTAAGCATTTGTCTAGTTTCCCAAAGCTGTTTTGTCCCAAACCTGAACTTCATTTCTAGCATCTTTGGTATTCAACATTTTTTAAGTTCGACTATAAAACTAAAAGTTAGTTTTTATGTTTTTGACACTCATGCTCTGCCTCTGAATAATTAAACATCTTAATCTGGACTTTGTTGAGTTGTCTTAGTAACCTGTGCACTTTAATTTTAAGGTTTAAGGTTTAAAGAAGCAACTGTATCCCATCTGACCTTTGCTATGAATGATTTAAAGAAGCTATAGAGCTGACTTCTCACTTAACGGTAAATATTTACCGTAACAGTAAATTTAACCTGTGCAGCTCAGACATTTGCACATCATTGCACTGTCTAAATAGCACCTTTGTATTTTGAAATCCTCCTGAAAGATTTTGCAATCCATGACCCTCTCTAACGGCTTCACCATTCGTTGCAGTCAGCCCTCCTAATGGGGCCTGTGTCGCCTGACTGGTTCAGAGCTCTTAATTTACTGGTCATTGGGGGTCTCTTCCTCACCCCGTCCTCCTCCTTCTTGTGTCTGTCCCCCTCATCTCACTTGGACTCTTTTGGCTATTTATTTCCATCACCAGGAGACAGGCTGCGCACAAAGCCTACACTGTGTCCCAGCGCTTTTTTAGGACAGAAACTCAGCCTGTTGAAAATGGAAACGCTATGATTGACTAGGCATGGCTTACACAGAGGAATGAGGAATGCCACGACATGAATAAATTATCCGCCGGAAAGATGGAGAAACACAAGTAATGAAGTATGAAAATGAAATATAGTTAAAGAAAGATATTTATTGATATTTACTGCAGAAAAAGAAATGTGTTTTTATCCTGTTCGATTGTAAATCAAACTAAAGTTTTCCTGTTTAAGTCTGTTAAGAAAGTCCCCAGAGACCTGGGCTCAGGTAATGTTAACCAAAAAAATTAACTCGAGATATTAGTCCAAACAAGCATCACTACCTTAGAATTTAATTCACTGAATTTATATAGTGCCAATGTACAACACATGTCATCTCAAGGATCTTTACAGAGACATGCATATGAGAAAAACCTGCTGATTACATCGAGTCATTGACTTTCAGGACATCCTCCTCCTTGATGAGAACGTGGTGAAAGCAGATATTTGTTTACATTTTGTCGTTTACTTTTCATCAATCCCTCATGCTCATCATAGCATGCATACAGTGACAGTGGAGAGAAAAATAACTAATTTTTAACTGGAAGAAACCTCCAGGAAAACCAGGCTCAGTGTGAGCAGCTATCTCCCTAGGTTGAGTGGGGTTTCTGGAGAGATTCTGAGGAAAAAGGGACGTTTTCAACCTTAAAAGCACTTTCTAGTTTATGAGGTCTTCACAAAATAGATAGAACCATATACATTTATTGAAAAATATACTTGATATCATTACTGAGTTGACTAAGTGAAAGATATATTAATTAATATAACAGACTGGTGTTTTCAAGTCTTTATTTATGTTTACTATCAATTTTCCAGACTACATATAACCATAGATGCTTTTCATATAAAAATGCTGATATGTGTTTAAAGGTTATTTCCAACAGGTAATTTCATTGTAAAACATTTGTTTTATTTGAACATATATTATAATAAGGGAGTGTGACTGTTTATGAATACAGGTCATATTATTTAGCCTAACCCATCAACAGGTCTCTTTCGGGCTGCCTCTGCTCTCCAGTCTAACTTTGCTGCGGCAGAATTGGGTGTTTGAGTTTGTAATGTTGATGCAGGGTGAAATAGTTTGTTGTATTATAAAGAGTGAGATGGTTTTGAAGGCCTATCCTGAAGCGTAAATAATGTGGTGTTGGATTGGTGGAAATATGCCAACTTTAAATGGGCAGCTCCACAAGAATTCTGTCTTGTCATTTTGCATTTATTTACCCATTAAATAATAAAAAGCATGCAGAAGTTTGGAAAGCTGAACATGATATGCAACACAGCTCCTCTGCCAGGACGTCAGTTATAAGCCTTTTTTTTTTCTTTCTGTTATTTTGCTTTACAAAAACAAATAATGACTGTCTTTAAAGCTCTTTTTTTCTTTCTTTTTTGTTTTTGTTTATCCTCCTGTCTGCTCTCATCAACACCCACCCTGAGGTAAAGGTGTAGTGCCAGGCCTTTGTTCCCCCTCCTGGCTGCAGGCAGGTTGGGCAGGATTCTGAAGGAGCTCGCTGTTTCTGCCCGAGCCAGCTGGAGCTCAGCCAAACACAGCAGGAGTTTCTGCTCTCCTCTGTTTGATATTTACTTTACCACCTTTACAGGGGAACTAGTTGCAAGACCAGACAGACATACTGACACAGGGCTGTGTTGGTGCTGAAAAGAGCTGTGTGTATGTGTGCGTGCACACGCCTCTCATATCACCCCACCTTTACTAAAATGCAGTCTGCACCTGGCCCACAGCCTGGGAAGGCTCCTTCTGCATGGTTGATAGGGAAATAGAATGGGTTTGACTCAGAAGAAGAGTTTTCTTGGGCTGGTAGGTATGTTGAGACGTTATCTAAATATAAGCTTTTCAACTGTTGATTGTAGTTTTATAACTGACAGCATTGACTCCTACATAAAAGGTGTGAAATGATGATCCCATCTGATCTTAAAATGTGTTTTTTAAAACACAAAGAGCTTTTAAGTGAAATTTTAAAAGAATATAAATAGGATTCTAGAACAGTGGATCCTGAATATGAAAAGTAACTCTTTAAAATGCTTTCAAAAATATACTAGTTGCAATTAATAATCCTAAATAATGCCAAGGGAATGTTCAGGGTTCCAAGATTGGTTGGACAGAAGAGGTACTGTACATCAAGTTGACTACAGTTTTTTATCTTTCAGCAGAAATGTTTGGGGTGTCTGTATTATTGGGCCTCACCTGCAAATACGTATTAAAAGCAGCTTTCTGTTAATACTGAATCATTTTATCAAAGGAGGATCATTTTAATTAATTAGTTGGCTTAAAAGAACAGCTGATCTGAGTATCATCAGCCCAGAAACAATGAGACATCAGAAAACGGATTATTTGACCTGGAGGAAAATATACAAAACTGAAAAAGAGCATAACCATGTCGTGACTGTTGGAAAATTGTGTGGATTCGGTTAATTTGAAGCTTCCCTCATTATCTGAGGTGGCGTATTTCTTCCTTTTATTAGATGTGTTGAATGTCATGCAAGGCAGCGCTGGATATTTAACTTGTTCTTTATTGTCTTGGCTTTCGGGAGGCGAAATACCCCATTTTCTTAGAAAGGCTTAAAACTGAACGGCTATTTCATTCAATTACAGAGGCTGTTTTACTACAAGAGAGCAAGACCAGAAAACTGAATAATCATGTTGTATTTCTTTACACTGTGTGACAGAGAGCTGATACTGCTCACTGAACACACAATTCTGACTATGAATTATGGTGGTGGTAGCATCAAGCTGTAAGGATTTGATTCATTGGAAAGGAAAGGGTGGCTGGTCTGTGTTGATTGGGGAAGATCATGAAAGACTGCCTTTCAGGTCTGGGTCCCAACCTTGTAAATAAGTCCTGCCATTATAAGAAGAATTAAACTGATGTAGCCCTTTTCCCTCTTGCTTTCTTTCTTCTGTTTCGTTCAGGGCATCGTCAGAAGCTTGAGGACACACCAAAAACCAGCCTTTTCTCAGAACGCATTAGTGACCTTGAAAGGATGAGGGTGAGGGTCACGGTTCCCACACAAACCCCCCGACCAGCTCTCAACACAGCAGCAAACTCTTTCAACCCACAGGGCCAGACACAGATAACAGGTGAGCTACTAAGATTAGCCTTTATCCCAACTCATGGTTAAAAATCCACCTGGAGTCATAATAGTTGGCATTTAAAGCATGGACATAACCAGCCAGTCCTTGTAAAGTCACGATCTAACACAAAAGAAAAGTAGTTTTGGCTTTTTAACAATGGAAGTTTAGCGTGTTTTTGATATTGTCTTCATGGTTCTCATTTCTTACTATTTCTTGGAAATACCTTTTGTAAGGACCTGACATAATGGTCTAACTTTAAAGCCTTTATTAATATATCAAATTTGCTCATCTTTATGTTTTAATGCAAATTAATCAAAATTCATATTTCATGAACTCTCCACCCTTTTGTCATATTATAACAAAATTCAATAGAAGTTTTTCAATATATATTTTTTATAGCTGTGGGGGCCCACACATATATACATGCATAGATCAACACTATGCATAACTGTTTATAAATGGCTTTTTGTTACACATAAAACCCCTAAAAATAATGAATGCATCTTTATTCATAGCCCTTTGCCTGACAGGTTGATTACAGTTTTTTTTTGTTTTTTTTTGTTCAATGTTTCCATTTTGCACCTCTTAATTAAGCATGTTCTGTTGATTTTTTTTTTTTTTTGGTCATATCATGCCATCATGTAAAGGCCACCAAAATCTGTAGTTGTAAAAAGAAGCAATTCAGAAATTCTTTGAACAGTATGAATATTTTTCCAATGCATTTTATGTCACTAAATTGTTTTTATGAACAAATACTTTCTTATTTTATATACTTATTTTAATTCATTAATATATATTTTTTGCAATTATTCTAAAATTAAATACATGACACAGTGTTTAAAAATGAATTTCTTTATATCATGACAAAGGAAATAGCACACCAACGATGCGCGAGAGTAAAATCTGACTAGCATTTCAAGTTTTATGATCACTGGGTACTTGCCAAGCATTGTCCAACTGTACCACTTAAAGGGCCCTCTGTGAAATATCAAACCCTAACTGGAGCCATGGCCTGACGGCACGAGAGTCTGTGAAGCGTGTTATGTTGCATCTGAGATTGTCTATCCTTCTCTGCCCCATCGCTCAATCAATCTGCAGCTTAGAAGGTAACACCATCTCTCACGGTTGGGCACGGCTGCCACCCGATCGCTCCCAAATCTGGAAACCCGTCACAAATGGTTATTTAAGTCTCAGTTATTTTTGGAGCGCGGCATTGAAGTGCTTCTAAGGGCATCGTTAGAGGCATGGTTAAGCAGCGGAGCAATACTAAGAGTAACAGAGCATCGAACACTCTGGGTTAAAACACCGATATGTTTGAAATATTATTAGGATGTTCTTATTTTAAAAAAAATTAAAGTCAAATAATAAAAGCGATTTTGACTTAACTTCTTACACTTTTCTAAACTATCCTAGCTGTATATTTTCAACTGCTTGCACTTACCCTCTCTTTATAACCTAAGGCCATACCTTTGCAAGCCTTTTCCCTTTTTCACATTTTATTACCATTACAAAATGGTAAACATCAACCACAAAAATATGAAAGTTTTGTGTATATGTGTTCAGCACCATTATTCTAATATGCACTTAAATGAGAAGTGCTTTGCGAAGCACACCACCCTGTCTGTAAAACATAGAGGGGGTAGGATGATGCTGTGGGGCTGCTTTTCTCCTGAGGGTGACAATGTTTAGACCCAAACAATTGAGAATTCCATCCATCCAACTTCTTACACACTTATCCCTAGTGGGGTTGCGGAGGGTGCTGGTGCCTATTTCCAGCTGTCTACGGGCGAGAGGCGGGGTACACCCAGAACAGGTCACCAGTCCATCGCAGGGCAACACAGAGACAAACAGGACAAACAACAATTCACTCACACACTCACACCTAAGGAGAATCTAGAGAAGCCAATTAACCTAATAGTAATGTTTTTGGACTGTGGGAGGAAGCCGGAGTACCCGGAGAGAAACCACGCATGCTCAGGAAGAACATGTAACCTCTAAGCAGACAGACCCCAGGCCGGGAATCGAACCCAGAACCTTCTTGCTGCAAGGCAGCAGTGCTACCCACCAATTGAGAATTCCTTTTCTGTATTTGTTTTGCACAATATTCTTAATTTCCCATTGCAACAATACACTACCTTGTGTTGAACAATCTAATGAAATCTCTTCAAAGTACTTTAAAGTTTAGAACTGTTATGTGGCAAAGGTGAAAAAGCTTCCCATGACTATGCCATCTTTCTGCTTGCTCGCTTTCTGGTATAATTTTCTGTCTTGCTTCAAGCCTGACTAAATCAACCTCAGCATAATCCATTCAGTTAAATAAAAAGTAAATTTTTTTAGTAAAACTAAGTAGCGCTACCTACCTTTAATATATTTGTTTCTTAAAAAAAGACAACTTTTTTGTGCAGTTTTGTTGTGTTGCTGTGCAGACACAATAATACAGTCTGTCCTGCTGTGGTATTTGTCTCGGTGTGTTTACACCCTGGACAAGTGCCAGCAATGCTTTCTGTCTCTCAGCTGCAAGTAGAAAGTTTTATAAGGCAAACAGGAAGATCTTCTCCTTAGAGGTAAACATTGCATGTGTCACTAGGGAGGACACTCCAGAATGTGCACAACTGATACCTTTAATCCCAAATAAAACTAGAGAGGAACAGAGAGGCAAAAAAGTTTGAAACTGCTATAAATGTCAGCTTTGAGCAGATGTTTGAATGTGCATGTGGGGCACTTCTAATTATTCTCCCTCTTTTTTTATTGCTTCCTTTTTTTCCCTTCCTTTCCTTGCTTCCTTTCTTCCCATCAGACCCTCGTCAGTCCCAGTCCTCTCCTCCGTGGTCGTACGAACAGACGTACCCGTCCTACCTGAGTCCCATGGCGTCCCCTTCCGTCCACTCCACCACCCCCCTCTCCTCCAGCCGAGGCACGGGCCTGCCTGCCATCAGTGACGTGCCTAGACGATTGCCAGGTAGAGGCGCTACTCTCCGGGGAAAGATACACATACGGTTTCAATCAAATATTTGCATACACTATGAAAACACATAAACATAGGTTCTCCCACAGTATAACTTTAAATTAGACTGAAGGTTTCCTGTTTAAGGTTGATTTGAATCACCAGAGTTGTTTCCATTTGATAAAAACCCACATGAATGAAAAGATTTTTATATTCCAAATACAGAAGCTTATATACACTCAGAAAAAAGTCCTTTAAAGAATCGTGCAAAGCCAAAATCCTAACATCATGGCTTCCCAATATAGTGCTTCCCAGGATGACATCATGGAATGATCCAAATTAAACCGATCTATCAGGAAGAGAATCGTGGAGCTCAACAAGGCAGACTCATCGCTGGGTACAATTTTTGGATACCTAAAGTTGCAATTTCAATCTGTCAAATAATTATAGAGCACTATAAACACCATGGAAATGTCCAGACATCATACCGCTCGTGTTTGAAAATGGGTTCTGTGTCATTTGGTTCAAAATGTGAAAATCAACCATGGAACAAAAGCATGTTAGCTGAAAGCGGTAAAGAGTATCAGTATTAATATGAGCTTAAAAGCCACTCAGCAAGGAAGAAGTCAGTACGTCAAGAGAAACATAGGAAAAATTATTCCTTATGTTCTTAAAGATAAACTTTAGGAGGCGGTTTTGTAACCTGAAGGGTTGCCCCATAATGCGTGTTTTTACAATTTGAAATATAAAAAAACAGGATCCATGCAAGCTTGTGAACACCACCCCATGCTCGGAAGTAGGGGGGCAAAACTGATGACATCTCGAGACAAGAACATTATTTGGAAATACTGAAGCACCATCTTAAGACCAGCCAGGAAAGAAAAGCCTTGGTACAAAAAGGTCTTCCAATTAGACATTAATCCTAACCATACCATCAAATTAGTTACTATGTGGCTGAACGAGAACAAAGTCCCGGTTTCGGAGTGGCCTTCACAAAGCCCTGATCTCGTGCCATAGTAAATTTGCGGTCAGAGCTAAAAAGGTGTGGGTCAGTATGGTGGACTATGAACCCAACTTCATTACATCAGTTATGTCTGGAGAAATATGCCAAGATTCCAGCAAACCGATGTGAGGAGGATATCCAATATGCTTCAGCCAACTCATACAGTTTAAAAAGGCAATGCTACCAAATACTAATGAAGAGTATGTAAACTTCTGAATTTGAAGAAAGCCAAATAAAAGTTCTGGAAAAGATTTCCTCTAATTATTTAGGCATTTAGGAAACTGAAATAACGTTGGTAATTCTAACTCATGAAGAAAAATAAAATGAACTTTTTATATAATCTAGGTAAATATCTGGTTTTAGTTGGACCATTTTTATACATTCTTCCAATTAAAAGAAAAATCCCTCCTTAAGTTACAGAGAACAGCTATTTATCAGCATGTTGCTGTTAGAGTGAGTATGATCTGCTCACTAACAGAGGTGGAGAAAAAGCTTGTTTCCCTTTTTTGCTCTGAGCCTTTGATCCAAGAGGAGTATGGATAATAACAGGCCCAGGGATAATAACAGGGTCGTGACTGACAAATAAAGTGTCTTTACAGCAACATGTCTCAAAGCATTCTGGGTAACTCTAGTTTCCTTGCACCAATGGCAGCATCTGTGTTCCAATTTGTCTATTTTTTCTTCCTGGCGCGAAAGGGTCTTTAAAAAAAATTCATGCCGCCAAACAAGTTTTCTCCCCCATACACCTGTTGACTCACTGCCATCTGTAGCTTTTCTACCTTTCTTTTTTCTGTCTGTTTCCTTGTGCTAGCACACTTTACCAGCCTCTTTGTGTGTGTATGTGCGTGTGAGTGGGTGTGCTTATGTGCCTCGAGCGAGGGCGAGTGATTAAACAACGCAGCCGTGTGACTCTGCATCAGAGAGGGTTTAAAATCCAGCCAGCTGCCCTGTCAGCCCTGATTAGTTTAGTCTTCCCCTTCAGCTTTCATCTTGCAAGCGTTGTTCTTTTGTTCTCCAAGTGATACATGTGCAAGTGAGAGCATGCGCACACGTACAGGAGCAGACCTCTGCCCACTCGCACACCTGCATGAAAACCCTTTTAAAGGGATGTGCCCTAAGGCTCGCCGATTTCCCTGGATCGTTATGACACCTTGTCAGGTTTCTCTGCAACTACCAATCACTGATAAATTGCTTTCTAATAGTGTCAATACTACTATTAGGTTCACATTTTTTGTCTCTTTACAACCACAAGTTATGACCTAGATAGAAACACAAAAAGTACTTCAGAGTTTGGAAGTAGAAAAAAAAATAAATATTTGTCAATACTCCATAGATCCAAGCCTCTTGGGGTATAGCTACCTTCTGTGCAGAAAGCCCACTGAATAACACAAATTGTTAAACAATGCTAAAGAATTTTAGCCGAATTAAGGTCTGAACTTTGACTAGGCCATTTTAACACAGGAAAATCATTTGATTCTTTGATCTAAGCCATTTCTAGCTCAGGTATATTACAGGACTCTCCCCTGCTTTTCCGGTCGTTTGCCATTTACAACTGTTTTTTTTTTTTTACCATTGTTGTCCTGCATCACCACAGCATGATTCTTCCACCACCATGTTTCACAATGGAGATGGGATTATGAAGGGTTGCGTGGTTGTTAGTTTTCCAACATGCAAACAAGTTCAGTTTGGGTCAGATGCAGATGACCTAATGGCTTTTTTTCAACAAAGCCTTCTTCTTATTACACTTCAATAAATGTAACATCTGCAGAGTATACCACTATTAGTTGTCCCTCTAACAAACCATTTTAACTTACCTGTGGATCTCTGCAGCTCCTGACAGAGTTAGCAGAGGCCAGTTGGCTAACTTTTATTAATGCTCTCCATGACCAGCCTTTCAGCAAAGGATCTGCAGTGATTTTGCAACTTCTGATGTCATTTTGTATTTTCTTTAGAGGGTTCCAGAGTAAGAGATCGAAATAGAAATGGTGGATTGTCTTTTATCTGTAAGTTTATTTATCCATAGACCCTTCAATTATTTCTTAATAAATATGATATGTAAGTCTAATTAAGTAGATTGAAGTTTTGTAAGAGGAAAAAATGTAAAGTTATAAATAAATAATTAATAAATAATTTAGCTCTACGCTGTGTGGGTATGCTACACCAACTTTAATCATCCAGCCCTCTGGTTAAAAAGTTCATCAAGTCCAGTCATAACACCTAATTCGGAAATGATGCCTCAGTGTTTGAAAATCCCTCTAAACATTTAGACCCTGTTACACTCTGGTTTCCTTTCAGCTAATAAAGTTTGATCTGGCTCATCATCACAGGGGCTCTCTGAGCTCAGGGGTAGGCCGAAAAAAGTTTAAAACAAGAGTCGGGAGTTTATTGAACAGCCCTGAGATCACACTTTTGCCCCACAACAGACACAATCGCCCTCTATTGCCGCTTGAATCAAACAAATCTGGTGGAAAGAGGAAGTTTAAGGGCCCTAATTGGCAGCATATGCTATCTGACGCTAGCGACAAACCCTACTTCGCAATCCCTCCCTGCACATAAACACCACAGCCCCCCACCCCCCACCCCCTGTCCTCTCAGAGCAGACATGGTGACACGGAAGACGCCTGGTGATTTATGATAAGAGCGCCATGGCTGGACTAAACCACCGAGAGGAGACGGATGGAGGACCTCCTATTCTCCTTTAACTCTTCGCCCAGCACGAAGCTAGCCGCAGCCAGTTAGTGGTTTTTGGGGTATTTTTTAAGGGATGAAGCGAAAAGAGGAACGAAGGGTGAGATGGAGCAGCTCCCGCTCAGCGCTCCATCGCAAACACACACACACACACACACACACACTGGAGCCGATGGGAGGCGAAGAGAGGAGCCACATCAGAGCTCAGCCCTGCCTCATTATGGATCTCATGGAAACTGTTTCTGCACAAAGTGTTTCCACATGTGCAGCTCCTGATTCATCCCAACTTGCTTTTTTATGTGCATACAGTATTCACACACATCCACTCTCGGCACACACACAAACCAGTTGCACACACATAAACAATAATTTAGACACACATAAACATGTGCCAACACACACAGAAGAGCGTGGATATGTAAATACATTAAGGCATATGTGGCTTAACTGAGGTTATCAAAACTCAGGAACTGATGTGAAAAGTGCTCCAGAAGCTGCTGATTCTGATAGTATTTATAGATAAGTGCTATTCCATAACCCACAAAGTTAATTTGCAAATTGGTAAATACACATATCAGGCTTGAAATGGCTGGTAAATTTACAGCAGTTTAATTTCTCGAGAGACTTATCTATTAAACTCAATTATTATACAAGAGGTTTAAAACTGACACTCTTAAATGATGTGTAAAAACGCTGCCTTGCAAAAGAACTCATAGCTGTTGAACTTTTTCTAAATTTGGTCACATTTCAACCACAAGATAATTTATTTTCGATTCTATGCAATAGACTAACATTAAGTTATGCACTATGAAACAATATGTGGTTTTCTGATTGCTTTTGTGAAATAAATCTAGAGAGGTGTGGCGTGCTTTACTCTGATGCCCCTAAATAAAACACACTGCAAAAAGTCGCATGCAAAAGTCAGCTTATGATTAGAAAGGAGCTACATTTAAACCGCTATGGTTGGTTGACAGTACAGATCACCCTGAACACATTATCTGTTATGCTGAAACTTGGTGGTGGTGGCATCATAATGTGGATAGTGTTCTTTGAGGGTTGTAAAATACTTGAGAACAGGAAAGATTCACTTTTTATTGGAAAAAATATAATATACACATTGGAATGTTTTAGAAAGAAAGCATATCAAACAGTCCAGACTTTAATCCAAATCTAGTCTTCAAAAATACAATGAAGTTATTAAAAAGGGAAAAAAAAACTCAAATAATGAATAATTTTTAGGCATTGAAGTTCATCTTTTTTAACACTCTCTCTGTATGAGCATGACTTTTATTTTGAAGGATGACCTCACTTAGGTCAAGATAAAATGGTCGACTTGGTACTATGATGCTGTGGGACAGCTCAAAATCTGCTACCTGACTGCTTTGTGGGAATATCAAATGATATTTCAGTTGAATTTCCTGGTTGTTCAGTTGGTATAATGTCACCAAAATCTGAGAAGCTTTACTGTGTTTAAAATTGTGTTTTATTTTTTTTTGTCTCTGTGTTTCTAGGCTCTTCTGACCTGAGCCCGTTTCCTGGTCAGTTCGAGCGCCAGTTCCCGAGCCTTTCCTCCATCACGGACAGCCGCTTCTCCAGCCCCCGCATGCACTACCCGGCCACCTTCACCTACACCCCCCCAGTCACCTCTGCCATGACCCTGGGTAGCGCCCACTACCACACCTACCTCCCCCCGCCTTACCCGGGCTCCACCCAGAGCCAGAGTGGACCCTTTCAGACCAGCAGCACCCCATATCTCTACTACGGCGCCTCCTCCAACTCGTACCAGTTCTCAATGGTTCCCGGCGGGGACCGCTCACCGTCTCGGATGGTCCCGCCTTGCACTAGCGCCTCCACAGGCACCTCCCTGGTGAACCCTAACCTGCCCAGTCAGACGGAAGGAGGGGTGGATGGCGACGGGAGCCACAGTAATTCCCCAACCGTGCTCAACCCCGGTGGCCGCATGGATGAAGCAGTCTGGAGGCCATACTGAGGAAGACCAGGGGACACACAGCTAACAAGTCAACCGATGTCGTGGTTTGAAAGCACAAAACCTTTTTTTCATGTAGTGAAAAGGGGATTTTCTTGCCTCTCCTCGGCTATCTCCACCTTCTGCTTGGGAATTAATCAGAAATGATTTAAAAAAAGAACAGACTAGAACCGACTTGTCTTCCTGGAATGTGTTTGGACCAAGGCACTAGAAAGGGAGCCATTCTCACAGCAATAATGAGAAAAATAAACTATTTTAATTTTACCAAACCCACCCAGATGGGACGTTATTTCCGTTTTATGGCAGCCCACCAGCAAAGGGATGCTTAACCGACTAAAGACTGCCCCTTCTTTTTGTAACGTGTTTGTACTTTATTAAGGCTTTTTTTTTTGCAGAGCATGTTTTTGTACAACAATACCAAGATGCAACCAAAGCACTGAGTAGCAGATGAGAAGCTTGTGTTACCCAAAGTGGCGTGGACATTCATTTTGCTCTAAACCAATTAAGTTAAGTTGTACATTGTGGGTTGTGTTGTTGATGTAGTTTGAAGCATTTTTTTCTTAGTTTTAACTTATAAAGCCATAAATTATGTATTGTATTTGAAACTTGAGTCGAAGAAGTGTAATCTGAATATTTTTGATGTATCTATATGTCTAAGTTAATTTGTTTCCTTTGATTAGTAAGTTAAGAGGTTTTATTTCTTTGTTGTTGCTGCGCCTAAAGATTTAAGTCGCTTGGAATATGAAATCTAATTTCCAAAGAGTATTGCAACATGTTTCTTCTGGTGTAAAATACAGCATAACTGCTCGACACATTAAGAGGCCAACATCTTCAGTAGGCGTCGACACACATTTGGCTTAGAATTAAACCTTTGGTATTTATTGAGCAATAACTCGCATCGTGCCTCTTGGCGACACAGCATTAAAGCCAGCTTCGGTGGGGAAGAGAGTAATTATCCATTTATGGAAATTTTCTTATATTTTGTCTGGTCTGGCGTGCACTTACAATCTGCTTTTCTTGACAATATGAGAAATCCAAAGTGAGTCCCAGGATATATGCACCTGGAGGTGCACTTTCCAGCATCAGTTTAGACTTTTAAGGCTCAGTTGTTTTGTGATACATGAACTCCTCAGGACTGGAATAAACCCTGGATAATATCTGCTATATCTGCTTTTCTTTCTCGCTCCTTCTTTTTGATTTTGTTTTTCATATCCAGCCTGGCTGAAGGCTCTGCCGAGATTATAGCTTACACATGCCAAGTTTATTATAGCTTTCATATCATGTGCAAAAGATGACTTTGAAAAAGTTTGGGTTTGTGCGTGACACGCAGAGGAAAAAAAAAAATGTATGACATTCCTTCAGGCATTTATTTATCTACAGTTTTTAGATTTAATATCTGACGTCCCAGCCTAAAACAACATTCTCTTTCAGCACTATAAGGAACAGTTCTGCGCTGAACCCAAAAAGTGCCTGGGTTCAGGGAAAAAGTGCAAAAACTGAGGTGATTGGATTCAGCTGCTGGCAGCACACTGGTGACCAAAAAAAGAAAATATGGGAGACTTGTATGTTTGTTTCATAAAAGCACTTATTTCTTGTTTTATTTCTAGCAGCACTCACGGCTGGCTGCCAGCAGAGCTCGTGGTTTGGGTCCTAAACTCAGCTATCTCGCCCATGCAGAATGGATAACACTTGGCCAAATAAACCATTTACATCTGACTCCTGTCAGCCAGTTGGTGTTTATTTAAAAAAAAAAAACAGACTATTTTTATTATTTGGTTCATTCTAGTATTTAATGTGTGCAGGTAATGTAGCCTCTGCGTTTGTAAAAGTAGAGAAAATCATGGTATCAGCGGGTTCAGGCTTTTCTGAACTCACTTTGTCATATTGGAAAATGTCACAGTGTATTTCTTCAACTGCCTTAACTCAGACAATAGATTCTCTGAATAAAACCATGAAAGTGAAATATTTATAAATCATTTCTAAACAAGGTTATTTTACATTTTTACCCCAGGTCTTGTAGTCTGCCTGTCTTTTAAAACCTAGAAAATCGACACAGCACTGCCATCCCACCCTGTCCGCATTTACTTCTGGTACTTTTTTTCTACAATATCAGAAAAAGCTGAATTTGTGTTTTTTTTTAAACTGTTGGGGAATAAACTGTCATGATGAAACCCTGTATTATTTAACATTCAGTGTGTATACTTGTACTTTCTGTTGCTCCTATGTAAAGTTTACGTGTTATTTCCTTTGTTATCCTCCTTCACATGAACACCTGTCAGGAACTAAAAATCTAAATGACACAGATAGATTTTGCTGGTACGTTTCGTAAAGGGGATTTATATATATATATATATATATTACAAGAAGGGACAAGCAGGCCTGACAACAGTGAGTGAAATTGGCATTGTGATTGTACATTTGTTTATTTGAAAAATAAAGCTGGTATTTTGTAACTTAACTTTTAATTTTCTTGCTGTCGGATTTGTACATCCTTCAACATTATCTTGCTAGTTAATTTATTTGCTCAGATTTTTTTAAAGTTTTTTTTCCATTATTTGCTTACTTTCTTGTGTAAATCATAGTCATTTATTTCATCTTCCGCTTATTTATTAATGCCTTTTTTGTAGTTACTCATTATGAATGTATCTCATGTGTTTCAAATTACTTAATTCTGCTTATGTAAACATGTTATACTAAGAAATAATCTATCCTTCTTGGTCTTTCTGCCATTCTATTATATCTATTTTTATGTATTTATTTATTAGTGCATCAAGATATTTTATTTGTTTTTGTTTATCTATTTGAAAATCATAATCAAAGTGTGTTTATTTTATAGTTCAGTGTTGTTCAACTCTAAGGTATAAGAAACTTTCCAAAGTATCCTCAAATAATGATTAATTGGCAAAATCAGTTGCAGAAAACTAGAATAAACACCTGAAAAGAACCAGTTAAGCATTCTGCTGTAGGTCAGATGTAAATAATGAGCATTCCTGTGAGATTGGGTCTGCAACAGGTTTGAAGCAGAAGAGTGACACGTCTTTGATGACCTAAGATGTTTGAAGACAATAAGGGGTTGACTTTATTTTCAAAGAATTTGACTTTTATATAAAGAAACTCCTTCACATACCCCATCTTTAGCAGCCTTTAACGGTTACCAAGCATATCACTGTGTTCTGCACATTAAAAGCACACTTAGTAGTAACTTCTCTTCTGCCCCTCTGTCTGCACCAACATTGTCTTTGGCTGGTAGGGGATCAGGAGCCCGGTGGGCCCCCAGCATGCACAGCTACACTACTGCTGCTGCCACAGCCGCTGCCATGGCTGCGTGTCAGCAACACACTGTGAAACCAAAGAGATGGAGACAGGAGCAGAAAGCAGGGCGAACCCGGCAAGCTGTTTTACATTATTCCAAGACATAATAGAGCCAATCTAAGTGTGTGTGTATATACATGCTGAAAAGGGAGATCTACACCATCTCCATATGTTTTGTTAAGGCAGGGGATTGGGAACATTCTCTGGATTTTCCTGAATATGGATTACATGGTTTCAGGTTTGCATTCTCTGCGTTCTCAGCCATGTCTAGCAATTATAATAATGAACTCTGCAGGAGCAGAAGAACACAGACACCCAGGCAAATTAGCATAATGTCCTCCAAGCACGGGAGAGTCATCAGCACGCAGAATGAGTCATTTGAGAGTGGTTGGTACGGACCTGTTGTCAAAGTAAAGTTTGGCAGTGTAGCACGTTGCCAGCTATGATGTGCTTCTTTTTTTTATTTTAGCAGCAAAGCAGACATGATTTTCAAACATTACGCAATCAGGGGAGAATAAAGGAAGACTTTATGAGTAGGCGAAACCACAGTTTGAAAGGATGATGCCAGTTGGAGATTTTTTGTTTAAAGACAGAAAACACACACACAGATCTGACAGCCCAATACAAACTGTTTACTTGACCTCTACAAACTTTTTAGAGGAGCTGCTCAGGCGGGAAGTGATCCTCAAGGGCCTCATACCACTCAGAGGGCAGTATATCTCCTCCTATGTTTCCGTTTCTGCTAACAAGACCATGTCTGTGTGTGTGGTTGTGTGTGTGTGTCTGTCTTTATACATCTTGATTTCTCATTTAGTCTGTGGACTCTTCAGTTCAGACATCAACTGTTAAATCAGTATTAAGCTTTGACCTCCTTTACCCCTGGACTATGTTGACGCCTCAGAGGAGGACCGCTCATTGCAATGGTGAGAAATGTTTAATTTTGGTCAAGATGCATTCAGCATCCTAATGGATTTTAAACCATGACAACTACATACTTTGGCGCTCCCTAGTGGCTCCTGTTAAGAATCCTCTGGGAGAAACTGAAGAGACAAACTATAATATCCTGCAATATAGTAAGAACCTGTGGACATTTTAAGATTTCGTTGGGAATAAAATCCCATTTATTTTATTGGGATTTCATTCAATGCGAGAGAACTGACAAACTAGATCTGTGAAGAGAGCAGAACAGCTAGATATGGAGCACCTATAAACTGCAACTTTCAAGTCTTTTCACAGATCACCAGACAGACCATCAGGATTTTAACCAAGCCATTTAAACACATGAATTTGCTTCAACACCTTCAGGGCATTTTGAAGAGGTAAAATCTCTGCCTTGGTCTCAGATATTTGAAGCCTGTAACAGGTTTTCCTTCTCAAACTCTTCTCAAATGCTTCTTTCATCTTAAGACCAGCAAAGTACATCAGATGCTACTAATATTGACCAGCTTCACTGATAATGCTAAAAAAACATCAAGCATTAACCACCATGTTTCCCTGTCTGATGTGTGTAGGGTTGTGCATGGGGTCGAATGTTGCCTATATTCTGGTCACAATACTGGACAGAGGCCCATTTTGTGGTTGTTTGATTTGATCTGAACAAACTGCCAACAATTGTTTTCTTCTTGTCCGTCTTCCAAAGGGGCGAAATGGATGAATTGCAGATGACCAAATATACTTTTGATCCTCCTACCTGAGCTGTGGACCTCAGCAGCTCACTCAAAGTATCCTTTTAGGTTAATGTACAATTTTTGGGGGGTTTGCATAGACCCCTACATTATTGAATGATAGAGAAAACTGTGCCCTGGAAGATGTTTAAGACTGGAAATTAGGTTTTAAGGCACACTCCCTCAAATGTCTATGTAGCGTTTTTTCCTAACCTGTCTGCTGCAGTTCTTTGCCTTTATGATGCTCTGTTTGTTCACTAATGTACAGTTACAGAAGACCTAGGCTTATAGTGAGATTAAATTAAACTAATTTGGGCTCTATTCAGTAATGAGGAGAGTTCTCCAGGGACTGTATGATTTCTGATTTTATTTGCTCGGGTCCTCTGTCTGATGTATTTCCAGGCTCTTCTGACCTGAGCCCGTTTCCTGGTCAGAAGGAAACGTGGTACCCGTGGTCATTGGGGCAC